CTTGCTTCCCAGCTGAGAGCTACTGAGTTGGACGAAGGCTATTGGAGGAGCTCTGATACGCTAGTCACGTGAGGTTTCAGGAGGGTAAACTGAATGCCATCAACTACTGCTCCAAGCCCTTGTCATGCCACCCTAGTGCTACTCCCTCGTATTTATTGTGTGTGGGAAGTTGTACGGGCGTGGGAGCGAGGTATTTGTGCGGAAAGCCTGTTGGACAACATGTAGTAGTCTCTGCCAGCGCCCAATCCCGCGATGCCCTTCCGCCGTGGGCTGGATTACTCATTCGCTTCTCTCTCAAAGCTCGATATTAACTCATCATCTCCCCAACTCACCACCGTTTTTTAACCACGCTACTGCGTAAATATTCTCTGCCTATTATGGAATACCTCGGGAACAACATTGACATTATCTTGCTACCTGGGGCGAACGAGGACAATGACGCCGAGTACGGTATCAGACCAAATCAACTCAAAAGGACTCCTTACCAGGAGGGGTATGGCAACCAACCCATTGTACAAACGACCGTATCGGGTATCGCACATGGTACGCTGGAGCCTGACGAGTACCCAGCCACACTGCTCGTATTCGAGTTCCACCTCCTAAGCATGAAGAAGGGACTACGGTTCACAGGCTGCAGAATCACCATCTTGTTTGAAGATGCTTACAAGCCGTGGAACCTCGGCCCTGAGGTTTGGCAAATGTCGCCTGAGGGAACTTTTGCACTAGATGAATCGGCACAGCAAAGGAGCGTCAAAATTTCTCATAACGCTGGGTTTCATGTAGCTATGTCGACGAAAGCTAGCATAGGTAGTGCGTGGGAGATGGAGAAGGTGGGGCATGAGGAGGAATGCATGACATTGTCGGGAAGACGTAAAATTCTGGGGCACAATAGCAGAGACGACGCGGTGGTGTGGGTTATGGAGGAAAATAGCGGGAATAAGAGCGAGATCCCTACCTTTCTGCGCGGCGCGGTGCTCCTACGCTGCGAGTCAGAGGAGCCCTTCAGCTTCTCCATCAAGATTGGTGCACAGGTTGACGACGATAAGCTTGGCGTGTGTAACATCTTTGGCGAGAAGAAGGCCGAGTGGGTTTCACCAGTCACGAGAAACTTGCTTATCGATCCTGAAACTCTGAGGGTGCCGCCAGTAGACCCTCGAAAGGTCGACTTATCTAGAATGGACAAACTAGACCTGAGCGACTTGGCTGATGTAATACTTGTTACTCTTCCAGCATAGTCTAAGATAGGTTCAGTGAGAATAGCATTTGGTATGTTCTTCTTTTGGGGGTGCGGGCTTTGATATTTGTCTCCGAAGTAGCAGAGGGGAGGTACTAGGCATACAGTTGGTTGCTTCTGTCAATAGGTAACTACTTACTCACCAACTTTCACTCATTACGAGTACTTAGATATTTAGATTACCCTCCGGCCTCATGTTTTGTAAAGCTGTCTGATTGCTTGCCTTGTTTTTCCGGTGAGCAGGAGTAATTTCGGTTATCTAGCGTATGATGTGGTGCAGTGTTCAATAAATCTAGATTTAAGAATGAGAGGCTGAAAACAGGATACGTCTGTCGCAGTCTATCCAGGTGTAAACATCCAATTTAATTCTGAGCTCTTGTTTCTGCTGTGAAAAATATCACTATCAGTCACACGGTTGACCTGGGCACTCTTGTACTATACTGTGTATTGGACACAAGCTCTGTTTACTAATGAACATAAATATCTGTATTTGTAGAAGGGAATGTCCAAAATTAGACAGTTTCGCCGAGGCAAAGCAAAGCTCATGCACAGACCTTGATCTGGCCTCTAAAATCACTTGTTAGGACACTCTTTCGATGGCTTCTGCCCTAGCAACTGATACCCTTCAACGACGGGTTCAATGCATGGTTTGACGGATTTAGTGCTTAATATTGCTATATAGAATATCCCCTATTTATAGCGGATTACATGTTTAGATGACCTATGCAATGCTACACAGCCTCCGATGAGTAATGCCCTGGTTGCTATGTATTGAGATTTCAAAGCCAACACTTGATAGCCATTTAAGTCCATAGGCGATACCAGTCGTAGGGTAGACCTATTGCGTATTTGAGCCCTCGCTTGGGCGAGTACTGAAAGAGGCGGGTTTCCTTAATTCAATAGCGCTGTTAGTATGGCCGGCCTCTGCGTCTTGTTGCGCAATGTCGCTGCTACTGCGTAGAAAGGCTAACTCGATGAGACTTCGCACGCTGCGTAATATTTCTCCCGTGTGAAGTGACGCAGAGAATACCCTCAAGGACGGTAGGTTTACAGCAATGAGTGCTATCCCGGCTTCAAGCATGGTATAGAAAAATGCTTCGGTTACAAGGCCTATGGCAAGCACCCAGTTCGAGTCAGCAAGTTTACAAGTCGATTATCTATAAATAAGGTTATACTCACGTTCGTGGTCGGTATAGAGTAGGTAATCTGGTCCTCCTAGCTCAATCTTGATATATTGGACCATGCGAACAATTGACGCAGCAAGACCACTAAACAGCCAGTCAATGAGTAATCGGCGAAATGTGATTCACTAGAGCACTCACACCAAAGCAAAAAGGAATACGCCTATGATGGACAACTTTCTCTTCAGCGTTGTGTTGAGGCGTAGGATCTATGTAACATCATCAGCGAGAACCCATACAGTCAAAGATTCCGAGAGCTGACATACTGAAGGAATTGGGAGGAGTATAATCCAGACGTCCAATATGAAGTCGGAAATGACAAGTCCATACAGGACCGGGAATGAGAGCGTGCAATATTGGAGATAGGTACCGTCCCAGAGCGCCGAGAAATGCGTGCCGCATTGGAAGCCCGTCAGGAACTGGAAAACGAAAAGCCACAGAATCACGGTAACAATAGTGGTCCAGATGACCGGCCCGAAAACAGGACGCTTCCCGCCAGAGCAGAAGATGCGCCGGTAGAAGAAGAGCGCACTAAGCTTCACACAGGCAAGTGTGGTACTACTCGTCACGTCGAGGGCAATTTGATCCTACGCAATTAGTATATTCAGCAACCGAGATACTTTATCCAAAGGTGTGCTCAGTGCCTGCTCACTTGATTATCCTCTTTGCCTATGGCTGCCACCTGTTCAGGCGTAAAATCATGGCTAGAGTATCCCAGTGTCTTGTTGTGTACGCCTGCGATAATATACCAATAAGCTGTCTGTCTTCGATAGATCGATGTTTGGAGGAAGTAGTGATTGAATGTAGGCGAATAACTAACCGACGAATACACAAATCGATGCTCCAATATATGAAATCTGAAGCCAACATCGCTCGTTAGCCAAGTTGCTGTATGGGTGTCATTGGTTTCTTACTAGGCCAAGAGCAGCAAAGTAGTCGTCGGCCATGAGGCCTACTTCGTGCCGCTTACGCGCCCAGAACCGGAGGCTGACGGCGATTGTCGAAAGACCCAACAGTGAGCCTGAAACGGCCAATAAGCCCTCCCTAGACGAATCCGACATTATAGACGAAAAGGGGCTGATGTTACGAACATAGCAAAAACTCTAGGCAAAGGGCCGCATGTCCACACGGGAAAATATAGCACTTCGGCTTTTGTAAATGATGTCTTCCCTCTGGAGAAGATGCGGAGGATTAAACTTTGTTTGTTTCGCGCCCTTGCATGCAAGGATTAGGGATCTTCACTACGAATGGGTGGCGGTACGTAGCCGACTGTCCCTGCGAACGTTATCATGACGGCTACGGTATGACAAGTATGTCCTGGACTCGGCCCTTTTCTCTGCTTGGTTGCATGGGAGATGGGATTGGTTAAGGGCATGGCTGAAAATACAGCTATTCAGGCGCCTGCAGGTTTTAGCACCATAGAGATGCCTGTAACTAGTAGGCACTAGATAGTACTGCCGAGAGAATGGAGTAAGGGATTTGGTAGCCACAGTGAGGAGCTTTCAAGTATACACTGTTCCTCGTACGTGCGTATCTACTAGGCATGGATATGTAAAATGGGCACTTCTGTAACCAGGGCAAAAAGATGATTTAAGCTTATTTTAATGTTGTATCTAGCTCTTATGATAATGTGGGCTCACGACAGGGCTCAAAAAGATTTGATTGCTTCAACTACCTATTTCAGGCGTGCAGCGTGCTAGGGATAATTGCTGCGACGCAGATCGCACAGTAGCTGAGCAACGCGGGCCTCCCATAGGTATCTGGATCTTGAATCATCATATACAACGATCAGTGAGCCCGAAAATAATCAGCTCATCTAGTATCAGTCTGCTTAAGATGAGAGTACTGTACCGTACACACCACCAATGAGGTAATGCCATAAGCCTGCGTCCCTACCTAGAGTGTTGCACAAGGAGTGTTTTGATATTCTGATACGATGCCAGTGACCTTTCTTTTCGTATGATGCCCGGTTAGTGTATCGGCTACTCTAAGCAAGGGCTCTCCCAGCTGATGTGGAAGCCCTTCGTGGGCTGGTATGAGGCGGAGCGGTATCGAGAGGGCTTCGATAATACTATTTAACTTGGGCCCTTTGCCATAACTTGGGATCTGTTACCTCCAAAACTTACTATTACTACAACCCGCCATCAATATGCAATTCAAAACATTCATCCTCACCGTTCTGACCTCGCTGGCAACCACAACTAGCGCCATGCCGGTTGCCGCTCAAGAAAATGGTATGAATTGGTCTACCCATGGAATATGTGAACATTACTGGGTACTAACAATCTGTACTGCAGTAGGCATGTCACGCGCCTATCATGTGAAAAGAGTCCCGTGCCCTGTCTCTTCCGACAAGTCCGCGTCTGCGGACTACAAGCGAGCCACGGCTTCAACACTGGAGGAAAACGAGGACGACATTGGCGATGATAGCCCCGGATTTGTTATTGCTTGCAACTTTTGATGAGGGGCTGGATATGGGAGAATGATATAGGATAGCGAAGTAACAGAACGGACGAAGGAGCTTGTCTTGGAGGATTAGGTATCTATAGTGACGAAAATCAAGAAGAGAAGAAAAAAAATAAAGTTGCCCATCCTTGGATTTGAACCAAGAAACCCTTGATGATCTCGTCAGGCTTATTCCTACCACGCAGTAAAGGTGGCGAAGGGGCTGGTGTGACACTATCAGGTCGTGTTTCCATTACACTAGATGGGCTATTTGTCAGGGGAAAGATGCATTGTTGTGGTATATAAAGAACAAACTGCTAATTGCAATCGGGCGGGGGTGTGGGGGTTGAATTATATCATGTCTATTCTGATGGCAGGAATTTCTCTCGATGCTGATTTCACAATAGCTGCCGTCGTACAGCCGTGCTCCTATAGCTGTCTACATGAGATTCAAGCTTTAGGGCTTCTTATGCGTTCTAAGTACTCAAGCATATTCTATTAAGATACTATTTATAGGAGCTTGGATCCGAAGTACCTAAGTAAGAGCTATATTGCGAAGATGTATAAGCAAGGTATAAGAAATCGGTGAAGATGCGATAAGTGTTGAAGAGAATAGCTCTATGTCTAAGTACCCTGCTGCCAGTGGCCAGTTTTATCGTAGCGAGTGATCCACGAGGCATTCCAGAGATAGCGCTATTAACAAGACATGTTTCATTACATAGTCTAGTCTTCCGCGTTCTCTATCTGTTCCCACGGTCGTGAGCCATCCGGACAACTCTTGTACCGATCAATCTCCCTAAACCCTGCATCGACCCAATGCACTGGCCGATAACACGCACTATTCTGACGAGACCAGTCTAATAGTTTATTCCAATCACGACACATCTTCACAGTTCCAGTTCCTGCGCGAGGTGACTTTTCGTGTACGTTTTTGTGCAGTTTCCCGATGTATAGCGGCGTGTCGTCTGCGTTACACATCACGGATTCTCGAAGAACGTTGAGGCAGTGTATCACATGTGGGTAGTGATATTTCCGCTCGATTTCAGGGACTCCGTCGTGATCTTCGTTGACGAGGTCATGAAGTACATGCTATACAATAGGTATTGTTAGTGTGTGCTGTGCGAGGCAAATTGGGACTGCCATTTGTTGGGCTTACAACACAATGGAGCTCATGGGAGCTGGTTAATATGTAGACACCTTTCGATAAATCCCACGGCCAACGTTGCGAGTGTGGTAGTCCCTGGGTTATAGTATAGTCCTCATTGAGGGCCACAAAGCCATTCCAGGGTTCTACATCAACATGAGCCCATGCGGCATCTTGAATCGTACGGTTCATGCTATCAAAATCGCTACTAGAGAGTATCTCTGTAGGCTTATTCCGACGGAGGCTGGCTAAGAATACATATTAGCTCTCATTGCTAAACTCATTGATTACCGCTTAACTTACCAAAACGTGTAGGCAATTCGCCGGCAAGTTCCCACGGCTTGAGGAACTGCCGGTATATGAAAAAGACGTTGACACATAAAGAACTCAGTAGGGCAGCGCTAAGAACGATCACACCATACCGCCATCGAGGGGATAGGTGTGTAAGTGCGACGCGTGGAGAGAAGTCTTTTTCTTCCGTATCAGGTCCATCTTGAGATATCTGGATATAATCTACGAACATGATGGTGATAGTGATGCTCAGTAAATGACTAACATAACAAGCCGAGGGGAACAGAAACCGTCAGAGGTTACTACAAGGTAAGTATCTATCCGTCTCCCTGATACTTTGGCAGGCGTACAGTGTCAGGGGCACAAGGACATTCTGATCCCGTAGGTTAGGTATGCCCTGGTTGTACAACTTCGCCTCTACTAGCGCCGGTCGAGAGCCGAATGGATGCACGATGCATATGAGGGGATTAGGGGCAATATTATTTGCGGGTCTCAGCATTTCAAATGTCATGCTGCAGCAAACAATACGTATATGAAACACGACAAGATCTTAAGCGTAATGCCACCTATCATAGGCTAGGTAGCCAGCCGGTGACACCAAATCACAGCATCCGTTCCTTGTCTCCTGTTCTATCTCATAACCGAACCACCTTGCTTCATGCTCTAACCTGATCTCTAATCATATTACCTCGAGCCCATGGCTGAACTCCAAATGAAGGAAGGCAAGGCGCCGTTCAAGATCCTATCAATTGACGAACCCTGTTTCACCTACTACAAAATCATTGGCGACCTCTCCAGTGGCAATCCTCCGGTGATAATAGCCCATGGTGGACCCGGCGCTGGACACGAGTATCTCCTTATCTTCGCAGACCTCTGGAAGAAATATCAACTCCCCGTCATTTTCTATGACCAAATAGGCTGTGCCTCGTCGACCCATCTTCCCCAGAAGGCCGGTGATTGGTCCTTCTGGAACGAGCAGCTCTTTCAAGGTGAGCTAGACAACCTGCTAGCCCACCTGGATCTGCGTCGCGAGCCCGGGTTCCACCTTCTCGGCCATAGCTGGGGAGGCATGCTTGGTGCAGCGTTCGCAACACGCCAACCACAAGGCCTGCATAGACTGGTTCTCGCCAGCGCGCTAGCGAGTAAGGAGCTCGCTACCCGTGGCACTCTTCTCTTACGAGGCCAGATGCCGCCGGATATGAAGCGGGCGCTCGACGAAGCGGAGGAAAAGGGGGAATACGATAGTCCTGCCTATAAGAGTGCACTAGACTTCTATCATAGAAAGCATGTGTGTCGCGCCGATCCGTTCCCACCGCCAGCACTGCTGCCAGCATTTAAACACTTGAGCGAGGACTCAACAGTGTATCGCACAATGTATGTCTTACTTCCTCCATCCATAGAGCATGTTGCTTAGTATCAATTAGGAACGGTCCCTCGCCACTCACGGCGGATGGTTCGTTGAATGACTGGACAGTCATACCACGTCTACCCAAAATTACAGCGCCGACTCTCGTTTACAATGGTGAATTCGACACGTCACATGATATTGCCCAAGTCCCCTTTTTCGAACTCATTCCTCGGGTTCGATGGGTTACGTTCCCAAACAGCGGCCATATGTGCCATGCAGAGGGGCATGCGATACAGGAGAGAATTTTGACAGTCGTCGGGGAGTTTCTAACTCAAAAAGCTACGGATATGTAGAAAAGACATTCTACATGTTCATGCCGATAAGCTTGGAAGCAAGGATACCCATTGAAGGACTGCCTTCCGCCTTCGTCGAACTCAGGGGTCAATGAGTGAGATATAAGTTGGAGCCTAGTTCAGAACTATGGTATTGTTGGTGCTGGATCTACGGTTGAGATGTAAGTGGTTCTAGGAAGCAAGGGAGCAGAAACTAGGACAAATCGCATTGTACACTGCATCTCGTTTCACTCTTGTGGACTATGACAACAAAGCAAAAATGAGTTACGACTAATGATATTAACAAAGTATATTTCAACCTACGACAATGCGCAGCGTATGGTGTATATAAAGAGGTCTTTGTAGAGTATCAGCAAACAGTAAACAAAACTAGAACCTAAACAAAGCTACGTATATAAGAATAAAAAACAAACAGTACTAAGCCAACTTAACCCGTTATCTGCCTTGTTGTTCGTATATATAGTTCACGAACGCGGCATAAATGCTGCTGTAAATGACGTCGCGAGGCACTCCACTATGGCGCATCTGCAATCTCGTATCCAACTTGGAAATGAGGGCTTGTATACGATCGAGATGGCAAATTGCATACTCTAGGTGTGACTCCAAGTCGACGCGAATGTTCGGGTCTAGTCGATGTCGGAGACGAACTTCAACAGCAGCGTCTCTGACGCGCCGGGTGTTCTCCGCATTTATGTCAATAGCCGCCTGGAAATAAGAGACGATTTGCTGGTACTCTGGATAGTCCGGTGATGCGCGCGACCCCGGTGCCAGACTATTGAATATAGACAACATATTATTTAGATCGAAGTCTATACCGTTTAGACGTTGGAGAACGATATCGGTCGCGTCCTCAGTTTCCGGATACACAGTGCTCCCTCGTCGAGTTCTCCTTTCCGGCTTAGGCCCCGTTTCATGATGTGTAGTGCTGTACCGTCGGGATTTCTTCTCTGTCTTGTCACCCGTTTCTCTATGTGTGGTACTTTGTCGCCGAGTTTTCTTCTCCGACTTACTAGGTTCATGTTTCGACTTGCTGGACTCACCATGCTTGCTGTGTTTGCTGGACTCACTATGCTTCTTAGACTTACTGGATTTACTAGGTTCACTGTGCTTGTCAGCATTACTCGAATGCTTACTCTCGCGTCGTTTCTGGTTATCATATTCCCGGCGTTTTTCGGGGTTAAGGAGAGTTTCACGGGCTTCGACGATTTCGATAAATCGCTCGTGATTTCGTCTTTCACGAGCCTCTCGCTGCTCCTTTGTTTCGACACCCCCGGGAGGGATTGTCGATTTGTTTGCTTTATCTGGATGCATTTTCAGAGATAACTCTTTAAATGCCTTCTGGATTGTAGCTACGTCGGCATCGACGGGAACATTAAGCACTTTGTAGGGATTTACTGGCGCCATTTTATTGTTGGTATATATTAAGGTTGAGGGTTTGAGAGCTTGGGGTGATGGTAATTCTTTGGAAGATTCTTACTTGAGGGGATTTTTACTTAAAGGGTTTCTTAATTCGATAAACTGATTGCCGGGATTTTCTGTATTTATGGATCTCTGATTACTAAGAAGCCAAGGTCTTTGTATTACATAGCCGTGTGGCGTTTTCTAACAAAGTTTGGGTAAATCGGGATAAAGCCCTTTTGTTTTTCTATTGTGAAAGGAGATGTATTTAGCACACTCTAGAGACCCTAGCATATCTACTGCGAAGGAGGCCTTCAATATCATTCCTAGGGTTCTCCCAATAGTATAACCAGGTTGACTAAGAGGAAATGAATGTGAAAAATAGTTTTTCATGTCTTTCTTAAATCTAACTCTAAATCGTTTCACTCCTGTACAACAACTATGCCCAGTCCGCATCAGCATCTACCGCCTGTGCTCCTTCAGCCAACAAGTCGAAAAGCCATATCTCACCAGTCGAGATCAGATGCTGGAACCAGCTGGTCGTTTCCTGAATCAATGACCGGTCAATAAAATGATCAGCCCAGAGCTTTCCCCCTTCTCGTAACTCTTCACCTTCTGCATAGCTCTTCGGCGGTGGTTTCGGTGCCCACTCAAGACCAGCTTCTTTGGTGCCTTTCTGCAACAGACGCACACATTCCTCGCAAGCTGGTTTATGTTCGCCGCGATATTCCCAC